TGTGTGTGTGTGTGTGTGTGTGAGAGAGAGAGAGAGAGAGAGAGAGAGAGAGAGAGAGAGCGGTGTTGTTTAAGCATGACAGGACAAAACTCAAACTATACCACCACAGCGTTGCTGCACCTGGGTGTAGTCGGTTTATGAAAATAAGTGTAATATAGCGCATCTTTTTTTGTTTGTTGAATAGATGCTTTAGCTCAGGCAGCACGTAACCTTCAACCAAAATTTATAACCTGAGTGAAATCACTTCACGTTTTGCTTGGAAAAATCCACCTATCCATCGCATCGACGTGGATGTGGAGGTATTTAAAATTTACAAAAAAAGAAAGAAAGCAGCTCCCAGGACCTCTGAGGCACCTCTGCACCCCTGTGACCCTCATCTGTGCCAAAGTTTATTGCCCCTCCTCATCCACCTCCTCTCCACCCTCTCCTCCATCCATCCTACCACAAAGAGCCGTGATGACCCTTGTGTCCTTCTCTTTCTTCTGCCCTGTGCTCCCTCCCCACCTTCAGGATGCCTTCTCTTCCAGAATCCATTAAAGAAAAAAAAACCCTCCTCATGTCATGATGGCAAAGGAATGAAAGGGGAATGTATTTTGGGACGGGGTATAGGTCTTGTTTTAAATGTAAAGTTGAGCTCATGTAGTGTTGGAAAAAGTAACAAGATGGAAGTAATTTGAGTACTATAAAAATGCCTATATATTTCAAATATATCCCTTAAGGCTTATTCTGATTCTTAAAGTCTGCTCATTCTGGTTGGCTACTCCGTTTTCTGTTGGGTTGCCTTCTCGTTAAAAAAAAAGTCAGTGTGTATAATCTCCCTTTACTTCTCCATCTTTAGCCTAACTTAATCTGGGTCACTCTGTCAGGTCCCTGTTTGTTTACCCCACGTGGACTCCCTGTAGCGGGACACATTATGCGCCGTGAAAAGCTACCTGGTCGCTCTTATTATGCGGCAAAGCCACTCAAAGGTGGAGGGGGCAAAAAAAAAAAAAGAGCCAAGGTAGGGGTCCTGAACGCTACGTTAGAGTTTTATTTCGGATGTTTTTTCAGTTGCAAAACAGATTACGGTGCAGGTTGCAACACAAAAGACTGTCAATGCATCACTTCCTACAGCCATCCCAAGCTGAATAGGGCGCAGGACGGGGTCCACTCCGGGATACTCGGGCGCAGGTGCGACTGCGGCTTGAATAATAGCCAAGCCGTAAAACACGGAGGGGAGGGGGAAGGGGAGGGGGGATGGGCGATGGAGAGGGGTTATATATACCTGTTGTCATTAACCTGCATTTAGTGTAAAAATGTTGCAGACTGAGCCTATAATTTAGTCCCAGGCAGAGAGCCTACAGATTCAAGTAGAGACGTTGCGCCTACTGTGGAGGCTCCATGAGAAAGGAGCTCACGCTGCAGAGACAGGGAGAGCCTTTCCTGATCAGCTAAATTATAAAAAATTACACCTGCAACGAAGAGAACACTCTTAATCCCATCACCAAATCTCACCATTGTTTTTTTTAAAAAAAATCTTAATAATAACTGGCCCCATAAACAACCCAGCCTAATTCACCTTTAACTGCATTAATAATTTATAACATTTTCATTCATCTCAGCAGCTGTCTTTAGATAATGCATGGAGGAACATTTTCAGTATGGCCAGTATGGCTTTAATTTTTCCCCAATAGATGGAGGCAACGAGGACCTTGTCGCTTTCGGGGTAGAGAGGAGGTGCAAGGGAGCAAATTCGAGATATGCTGTCAAAGTGTAACAGAGTCGGGTCTTTTGTTTTTTGTAACTGTCAGGCTGTATGAGCACTCGGACTGGGGAAGGTGTATGTTTATTATGCCAAGACTGACCTCAGGGCCAGCCTCTGCCGCTGACATCACTCCTTACGGCTCGTCGCCTTCGCTCGCGTGGGAGTCCCATCAAGGTCTGAGGCTCCCGCTGTGACCGAAGGCGATGCTTCTACACCATTCATTCTCAAGGCAGCCACTCAGGACACGCAGTCGCACCGCTCCCCAGACAACTTTTTATTTTTTCCTGAAAATAAACAAAGCCCAAAGATGACAGAAGAAAGTCGGGGAAAGCGTAGGAAACAAGCCAACCCCAGGAGAAACCGAGGTAAGAGGCGTGAAGACGAAAACTTTTTGAAAAAGTTGGTAATGATGTTGGCGTGTTGCTGCAGCGGGCAGGAGCCCTCGCTGAGAACTGCGCTCGTTTCTTGTGTGATTTCCAGATGAAAACTACACTTTCTTTTAGCCCCCGTTTAGTGCTGTTCTGTATACTATAATTTCATGCTTCATACGCTTTTTTTCCCCTTACATGTCTTGTGAAAGCCTTGCAGATTAATACACAGGGATGAACCGTCAGTTTCGGTCTGGACCACAGGGATTATTCTACCTGGGAATTCAAAACTTGTGGCTGCTCGCTTTTAAGGAAAACTTTTGGACTTTTCTTTACTGATTTAAAAAGAAAAAATCATTTCTAAATAAAAAGAAAAAGCACAAAGAACTATATACAGCCCAATAAACTGTAATGAAGTCGGATAGACTATTTAATTTAGTTTCCTTACTAGGAAATCCTTGTTGTCAAACTACATCTCACAGTCCCCCTGTTATGTAGTGCAGTGCGCTTGGCTCGTACGCAACCTCTGACACGCAGTTTAGTTGCTTTTCACGCGGAAAGTTAACCTGCTCTGACACTGCAGCTTTCTAGGTTTCAGTTCCCTTATTTTTTACTGTTGGATTTTTTTTAGTTTGTAGCAACTTTTATGCAGTTCGATATTCTTTTGTCTGCTGGTTGTCAAAAATAGACTGTGCAGCATCTGGAGAAAAAGGAAAAGCTTTGAATTAGTGTCCTGCAACTAAAAAGGTTTTTATTTAAAAAAAAAGAAAATAAAAGTACACATTAAAAAATATGTACATTAAAAAACAAAATTTCTAAATGTGATTCAAAGCAGAAATTCCTTGTGCACAACTCTTCAGCTCTGCTATGGTGCACAGTTAACATTTTTTATCTTTCTCTAATTCTTTTGTGATTATCCATCTTGATTATCAAGAATTAGCTGAAAGTGTCAGTTGACCTTGAGGCTTCAGATCTTGTCAGTCTCTCTGCATGCACTTCCCAAAACTGTTCTAAGAGGAACTTCAAGACTGCATGCTGTATTTAGAAAGTTTGTTAAGACGCTGCTCTGCATGCAGCAAGCAGCACATGTTTGTTTGTCGCTCTTCAGGTGTGTGTATCCTTGCTTCTGTTTGTGAGTTCTGATAGGCACACATTTAAAATAACAGTTGTTCTTCCAGCCTTCTAATAAGGACTGAAAATATATGTTGGAATCAAATCCTACTTCCCTAACCCCGGACTCTAAAATTATCCACAACATTGAACACTGAATGTTTCTCGAACCCTAAGTTTAACTTGAAACCCCTTTCTAAATATATCAAATGGAAACCTTAGACTAAAACCTCTGAATTATGCTAATAATAATGGAGTATATGCTGCTGGCACTTCACTGCAGAGAAAGCCATTACTCTAAATGTAAATGAATCCCCAGGACAGAATGAATTAAGTTGGGTTAGTTTGGGCTCTTTTTTTGTCATCTCAGAGCATATTTTGTCATTAAAAAGTGGCCAGGGCAAGGGCGCACATAAACACATGGATGGAGTTTCTTTTAAGAGCCATCGCAAACCATACACTGCTGTTGTTTGCCTCAGATCTGGCATGCAAGCGTGACAAAGCTAGCTGGTGTAAGGAGTTGGTTTGCTCGTTTATTAGTTTGTTTTAAGTGCTTCCTCATTTTATTCATAAAGGTGTGAATTCTAGCAAAGCGTCACCAGGGTGAGATCCTCTCTGACCGCTCAGCTTTAACGGGTACTCGTGTGTGCATGTGCACACACACGCACACTCTCACCTTTGACTGTCACGATGCAGTTTGTCGACCGACTTCACTCTGTTTCACAGATCAACAGCATCACGCTACCGTGAAAGCTATCAGCTAAAAAGCACACTTACTGACAAGGACCTGTCACTTATCAGGCCACCAGAAAAAAACTGTCCAGTTTTTTCTTTTTTAAATTCTTGCAGTGATCGTAGAGAAGAGATAAGCATCACCTGCTGTCAGTTTCCAGTAAAATTTATTAAGTAATAGGATCTGAAGAAATGAAGGCATGTTAAAAACGAACAGGAACTGAAAGGAAACTGATTATGAATTGATATTAAGCCTAGTCACATTAACTCATGTTGATGGATGTTTTCTGTGAAACATCTATTTTTAGGCTCTCTTTTGTAATTATTATCAGTGCTTAGTGCACCAACCAGAGTACTTACACAAAGTATAAGCCACAAACACATTCAGTGCATGCAAAGAGGTTTTTTTTGCGTGCAACATGCTTGCTGCATGTGCATCCTCATGTTAGAGTGCAGACCTGTGTATTAAAGCAGGATTTGGAATGTGCTGGGCTGGAGGCGGCTGTGCGAGGAGGGAGTTAAAGGTCCTTGATAAAACCAAATGAATTTGGCAGACCCGACTCATAAGACAGAGATCTGGGGATCTCTTCCAAACCAGAAGAAAGAGAAAAAGCACTAACTTTTCTTCCCTCTCCAAGGCGCCCATTGATTATGTCTCTGTCTACCCCAATAAAACCGTCAATGTTCAGCAATATCGAGCAATGTGAGGAAATTACAACTTTTCATTCCTGGCAGATTGGAAACAGTCCCGCGATCAAGACTGGAAACCTATACAGTTAAACCTGTATTTACTGATCTACCAGAGAGAGTGTGAGAATTAATTAGCCGAGAACACAGCCAGCTCAACATCAGGCCTCTGTACACAGCCAGTGACACAGATGCTGAAATTGTCAAAGAAGAAGAGTAGTGAAAGGGATCGAGACAGATTTGTGAGAAGTTATTTCAGTTTCTGTAAAACAGACGTAATGAAACAACTCCTCATATCTTATTTTCTCTTATTGCATTTGTTTGGCATAATTTATTCTAACTGTATCTGGGCTTTCCCCTGAGCCATTTCTTGCCAGAACAACATTGTCACATGTGATCAGACTGAATCTTTGCTTTCAGGACCGTGCACACCCTCACAAACATATCTAGTTCTGCTGCTTTGCACTTTATGTTTTGTTGGTTCATTAAAAACCTCACTCTGTCGTTGAGTGGATGTGCCTGTTTAAGAGAAAGCTTTCTCTCTCTCTCCCTTTCTCATTTTCTCCTTTTTTTCAAGTGCCAATATATTTAAACTCCTTTCCCCCCTTTCTTCTTTCTCCTTCATTGATTTCCAAACCCCAGTCTTTGTATGCAGCTGGGGCCCAGCTGTGTGTCTTTGACTGTGTATGTGTGCGCATACGTGTGTTTGTGTGGGTTTTTCTGGCACACCGCTGCCACAGTGAGCATAGCACACTGTACACAAAGGATTTGAGCAACAAAAAAAAAAAGAAAGAAAAAGGAGAGAATGGGGGGGTGGGGGGAAGCGTTGGAACGTTAAAGGCTGACGTGCTTGTACTGTACAGAGCGGAGGGGCTGGGCCTTTTGGACCGAGCCTACTTTAATGGCAGATGTATCGGCGCTCTGGGATGAGGGGTGGGGAGAGCGAGACAGCAATGAAGAGCTCAGGCACCACAGTTTATTACCAGGACTCTTCAAGGGGCTCAGCTCAGGCGTCAGAACCAGCGGGTGGGAGGGACAGAAGAAGACGAGAAGAGAGGAAGATGACAGAGGTGGGGAAATGATGGGGTTGGTGAAAACAGCTCTTCGGTTATAAAAGATGAGATGTAGGGTTTGAGGGGTGTGTAGGGTAGAAACAGAGGAGTCACGATGGGCGATGGATCAAGGACAATCTAAGCGTTTCCTTGTTTGTTTCTCAAACGTTCCCACAGCTCCAAGTGTCACAGATTTCTCCCGTCCTTGCTCTGCGTGTTTGATACCCGATCTACACGGCAGAAATGGGGAATCCCTTGATTGAGTCCCTCTGGAATTTTTAAACATGCTCATTCAATTATTGCTCATTCTGATGTTTCCTACAAAGCCAAGCCGCCAAAACAGTCTCATGTCTTACTGTACGTTCATGCCGCACGACTGCCATAGCAGGGATCCTCTCCAGCAGCGATTACTTGGAAAATATTGCCACTGCAATGATTAATTAATGCAGTGCCGTGGTTTCTTCCAATTTTTTTCAGCTGTTACAAAAGCGTCCCTTTCAGGGTATGGCAACAAAAAGTATGCAATTAATTTGGAATCGCTGGGAGATGCTGGCAGTAATGAGGGTTTCATTCAAACTGCACCACTCTGATTCTTTAGTAGAAAAATTGCAACTCCGTTGTAGTTATGAAGAGGCCTCGGTAGACGGAAACTCGAGAAGTGAGTGTATGTCTGTGGATCACACATGTTTCAACTGTAAGATAACACTGCTGGCCACAAAGCATATGAGGTGTGTATGCATGTGTGTGTGTTTGTGTGTGTATATATTTATAGGTGACTGGGCATGTACTTATCACATATTTAACAACAACTGTATTTTCACATTGGAGATTCGAGAAAGTTTAACACACTGTATACCCTGATGCTGCAAATCGATTACCTTCAGAACATTTGCAGTCTTATTATTATGTTCTTTGACATTGCTTTGGCACTGCTTCTCAACATCAAGTCTATTTGTGGATCTTCTTTTACTGCAGGCAGCCTGCGTTTGTGTGTTTGATATGCTGCACATGTTTGACAGAAAAAAGAGGTTAAAACTATCCAGATAGGCAGGCTCTCTGCATACACTTTATAGATATGTGCTGTTTTTATCACACCTCAAATTAAATTTGGAAACCCTGCTTCAGCTGTCATGTATTACAAGGGCCAGATGGGTGGCAGAGAAAGAGAGAAGAGAGTCAGAAAAAGAGACAGGGAGAGAAATGAGAGCAGCCTGGCAGGCAGGAAGGCCCCCTCAGCTGGCTGAGAGCGTGCCAGTATATAAAGGAAGCAGGGCAGGAGATTGAATGAGGAATAGTTTGATATGAGGTCGAGAGATGGACAGTATTTGTGGGCTCTGCCTTGATCACCGCTAAGGCGAGGCCACATAACACCTGCCAAAAAACACTGTCTGTGGATTCATCAGTTTAACACTTTTT